GAAGTCTTGCCTCTGGTTAATTTGTTCTCCTATAACTTTCATAAGTATAGAAGCACTATATCTGGAGAAGAACATGTTATACACATATACAGTTAAACATTCTTTTCCACTTACAGGTGGTATTGTTAAAGTAATAGAGAAGAAACCTGTTAATACAAACATTCTTGAAATAAGTTATTACTTGGCACAGACTTTCATTTTAGTACAATATCAGTGTCACTTTTTAAATTAACTTTCTAAGGCAAATTACTATTAATGCCATCATTTTTCCAGAGTCTGTTTAAGTTTACCCTGTCAGTATGCAAAACTTGGTATATCCTGTTCCATCTGCTTCTCCACTTCTGCAGCTGTCCGCAACAGGAGCTGCTCTGTATTTCTTGGTTAGAACTTGCAGCTCAGGCTTTCTGGTGATGGGCAGTATCTGTGGTCCTCATTATCCCAATAATGAAACATTCAGTGATCATATAAGTTGCAGCATTTGAGGCCAAAGTCTTTAGTTTTGTTCCTATCTATATTTATCCAGTTATTTCCAAGCTTCTTTCTTCTGCTTGAAGTATAATTGTCACAGGCATTATTTCTCGTCTACTTTCTATGGAGACAGACTTTTTAAATCCAAGGACTTGGACTGTGTCACCTTCACCGAAGTGGAATCCAGACTGAAATCAATCTTGGTGACAAAAGGCGAGTTTCTGTCTGCGAGTTTCATTTTCCAGTGAGCAGAATTTACAAAGAGGTTAGCTGCAAATTCATCATTGCAGAGTGGAATTTGGTTCCTGAAAGAAGAGAATTATTCCTCAGTTTCAATTCTAGCTAGAATTCTTAGTAGGAAAAAGTAGCTGTCTCTCTCTCACATGAACAATATCTCCCAGAATAGATTCTGCCAGCCCTTTCTTGTGACTTCACGTTTTATAGGCTAGGAATAGATAATTTTTCCATTCACTTGTACCTAGAAGAGCAGAAAATGTTGTAAAACCATTGAATTAATAGGTTATATAACAGCTTTTGTATGCTTCCTAAACTCTGTTCCCATCCATGGTCATTGAGCATTAACCACTTTCCAACTTCTATATACTTAAAGGACATGCATTAAAATTCTCATAATGGAGAATACTTCTATGGTAATATTTAAGATACTTCTTGAAAAACAAACAACCCCTCACCACACAAAACTCTTCCTCCCAACATCCCCCACCCTTTTTTTTTTTTTTTTTCCCCTCTTCCCTAAAATTACAGGATGACTGCATTAAAGGCACTTTCTGACTGAAAATGCCTGTTTAAAAGAAATGAATAAAACAATAAGAACTGAACAGAGGAAAAGGACAAACCAGGCTATTGCTAGTGGCATAAAGCAAGCTGCAGGCTTTGGAGAAGCAACAGAGCTAACAAGGGCTGTTAAATGGGAGCAGCAGAGGTCTTGGACACTGATATGGAAGACTTAGAAAACCAACTGTTAGTTCACTTTAGAGGATCAGAAGTGCTGGCCAGTTTCCCATGCTGTAAGACTCACTTCCCATCAAGTTTTGGTGGCTCTTCCACTTCTTTATTGCCTCTTTGAATGAGGGTGACTACAGCATGGCAACCATGACTACTTCTAGCCAAACAGCAATATCACTGCAGATATTGCTGAATATCAGCGTATATGTATATGTTCATATATGTATAAAACCATACTTTTCTATCTACTTACGATGTAGTAGATGGGTATAGAATTTGTAAAAATCCATAAAGAAGGACTTTCATAAAAATGTAGAAATTATTTAAGCCCTCATTTTCAAACCAAGATTCATGTTTAGCTCAATTGAAAGGGTTTGTTTTAGGTGAACCTGAGTTTTGCCTGCTACTCGCTTCTGATCTTGAGTGGCTGGCATGTTTGGGCAGAAACGGTGTATGTGTGTGTGTGTGTTTGTGTGTGTGTGGTTTTAGCAAATGTGAAGGAAAAACTTTTGATGTGGAAATTCTCCATTCTCTACAAACCCAGTAGAGCAGCAGTACTGATAACTTGCTTTTGTTTCACTTGGTTTTCAATTGTTGAAGGAAGTGGGTAAGAAGCTTTACAAGGATGTTCCTGGGCTGGTAACTACCCAGGTCTTCTACTTGGTCACCCTTGTTATGAAGAGCCTGAATGAGCTATTTCCAGCCTAGTTCCTTCTCAGTTCTTAGATTCTTATATTTTCTAATTATACCTGCAAGTATGTTAAAACTAAATGTATTATTTTTATCACGGTGACAGAAACTGCGCTATTCTCATATTCCTGCTATCTCTTGATTAATATCACTGAAGAATTCCAGCCTAGGGCCAAAGCCCGACTTTATTAGTCTCTATTGTCCTGAACAACAACAGTATTGTCCTGAAGCACAGATTACATAAGCAGGACAATACAAGCACAGACGGGAGGGGGAATATAAGAATACAATAAAACCGTATTGGTTAACAACATGGGCTGCAGTCTCATTTACACTGCCTTAAGGCTAGGCTGTCTGGCTGCTCAGTTAACTCGCCAAAGAGCACCCACGAGGGCCTGGGGGACGCAGCACGCTGCGGAGAGCATCTAAAGGACGGCGGGGTGGATGGGACACAGCACGTCGGGAAACGTGCTGCTGCACAGATTGCTTCCTCGGAGCAGTTTCAATCTAAACGATGGCTTTCCATTAGGAGAATGACTTCTGCTGTTCACTCAAATCTGTTGTTCGCTCAAATCTGTGTAATAGAATTTTAGGAAAGAAAGGATGTGCCTAGTTCCAAGCTTGTCTTGAAATCAACTTTGAGATAATGCCTTGTTCATTCATGAACTAGAGGTACACAAACTTGCAAAATTTGTACAAATGTTGTACACTGAAACCTCTCTGTTTGTCAGGGAACTGGCATCTTTTTCCAAAACTTAAAGGTTTGAATGGCAATAGCCTGCCTTTTGGCTTGGGTGTATGTGATAGAAGGAACTACACAGAATTTGGGATAGGTTCTTGCTCAGTTGCTGGCATCATACAGCAGTGGGGAATGTTCTCAGTTAAGATGATCTATTTAACAATTGTTAACTGTGAATTATGCAGTTAAAATGCATGCTTTTGTTGTCATGTGGTATAACAAATCTGAAGCTGGCTATGGCTGGAAAGCAGTGCTGCTTATAAATGTATCCTATAGCCTTTATTTAACTTTGCTGTGGGAAGACTCCTAAATTTTATTTTAGAAAAGGAGGGGAAAGATTGCAGCATCATTGTTGATGGGGGATCATTGATAAATCAGCTTTTGGGAACTGTGCGGAAGAGGAAGAATTGGACTCTGTGTGGATTAATTTTATCGTAATGGGCTGAAGGTCAGATGCTGTATATGGCAGTAATTAAAATATTATGTTACAATACTGAGAAGAGCAATCTGTTTTTCTAATCAATAAACAGTGTCAGACAGCTGAAGAGCTGCAAGTTACAATTCCCCAGTCGCATGTATGGGGCTATTACACTGCAACTGCACAGTTAATCAATTGACTAACATCTGTGAAATGTCTTTTCTGTTAGATGCTGGGAGATTTTCTCTGTTGGATAAATTCCTGAGTAGGAATGAATGCTGGTGAACTCCAGTGAGGCCTTGAAAAGTGCTAACACAGTTCCTGGTTTTTACCTGATAGAAACTGGAATTGTGTAGCTTCATTCAGGTAAATCTAGCTGAAGAAGCTTGGATTGTGTTTTTTCCAGGGGAGGTAAATACCAACCTAGGGAAGGAGAATAGAGAGAAACTATGGAGCTTGAATCATTCTGGTTTTTTTTTTTTTTTTTTTTCTTTTTTTTTTTCCTCTTCGTTGAGGACTTACCCAAGCAGAAGCATCACTTGTATCGCTAGATACTACTCAGGCGTCAAAACAGAAAACACTGTGGATGATCAATTAATGCTTTTAAAAATACATTGTCAAAGGAATTCACTTTCACCACACTCCTTTAAACACACAAAAGGAAAATCCTCTATAGCTTCATTTATTAAGATGTTTATATTGCAATCACCTAATTGCTCAGAGAGATTTCTACTCTAGTTAAGTTACATGAAGCCAGTCTAGCCTACTTTATGGTGAAAAGTCAGCTCTTGCCATGTGGTGGCTACCAGGCAGAAAGCCAGCTGAGGAGTAAGAAAACTGGATAGAAGTAACTGCTAAGGTTGTTGGTAGCTCTGTTTCCCCATGAAAAGACTAAATAATGGATCTAAAACAGATGCAGGAAAAGATGGTGGACAAACTGTCTGAGAAATCAGTAAGGAATTGTATTAACTTCAATAAATAAAGACCCACCAGTTCATGTTGAAAAAGAACTTTGTTTCTGTATATGCATGCTAGCAGTGTAGGTTAACTAAGAGGTCTTATGGTAGGAATATCTTGATTAAAATGCATGTTTTTAGGGGGATGGTAGAAGGTTAAAAAACAAATAGCAGCTTGTGATAGCTGGATTACAAATTACACAGAATGAAAGCATTTTCATCCAAAGATTTCTATGACACCATTACAATGCTTTTGGGAAATAGAATTTAGCTTCTAAACAGAGCAGAAAGAATTTATAAGCCGTAAAAATACACGATTATTTGAAGACTAGTAGCACTGATCTTTTGATCAAAACGAGGTGATGCTGGGGGTCGTGTGGTTAAAATAGGAAGGTTATCAGATAGGGAAAATATAATGCCCTCTGCAGTGAGGTGCCTCATGTGTCCTTGTAAAGTAAACCAGTCCAGTGTCATAACTGGAATGTTTTGTGAAAGGGCCAGGATCTGCTCCTCGTGCCGTGAGCTCTCCCGTTGGTGTGGCCGTTTATGAACGGGGCCAGGCAACAGCACACCAGTAACTCCAGGAGGGCTGGGAGGGCTATGTGAAGCCTGAGGGCTCAGCTTGCTTTCCAAGTGTTGTCACCGACAGGCTCCTTTAATGATTTTGGGAACAGCTGTTGGAGATGAAATAAATACATGTTGGGTCGCAGTTGGTTTGTGGAACACTGGTGCAACCCCTCCTGAGCAGGGATCTGGGCTGTGGAAAGGGAAGGATGGAAGATTTGCTACTATTCATCGATGTGTGTTTTGGCAACACTGGTAATTACTTTTAGTAACTACTGGCTTTACACCAAGGAATTATCTGAATGCAAAATATCATCTGAAATGTTGAGGCATAGGGAATAGAATTTATAGCCCAAGCACAACAAAGGGCTTTTTAAGCTAACTTTGTATTTAGCTCAGCAGTGTGGTCTCGTTATGCTATTGTTTGTAAGCTCATGTAGACTCACGAGAACATTTTGCATTCAGGGTTTAATTAGGTTCCCCAACATACAGTATTTATTTTGAAACCAGCTCAAGAACCGCAAGGTCTCTGTGGATGGAGTTTTGGGGCAGAGGGAGGGAGCGGTGCAGCCTGTCGGGAATTGCCTCCCGGTGGGAATTGCCTCCTGCCTCCGTGGACCTTCCTGGCTGGGAAAGCACTCATGTCTCTTCCTGCATGTTAGGGAACTTGCAAGACATGTTGGGTATCTTTACTGTGATTCTTAGAATAACGTGACTCCTGTCAAGCCATAGTCCTCTTGTGACCTAAATAATTCAGGGAAGTCTGAAATCTGGTAGTTTTCCTTAGGCACTTACAAGAGTGGAAGAAAATGTGGTAGGAGTCTGCTCTCATCCAATCTAAGATGCACTGAAAGACAGTCATTCACTGTGGGATATCTCCACTATTCCTCAGGTGACTACGCAAATAGGACTCCAGAATATTGGAATAGGACACGTGGCTATTGGAAAGGGTTCTAATATAATGAAATATTGTCTTGATTCTTGCTTTTTTTCTTCTTCTGTTTTAATGGAGGAAAAATGGCTTTTTTTTTCTTTTTCTATTAAAGAGTAAAAATAGTTTCGATTATTTTTCTTTGGAACAAAGGGAGGTCTGTCAGAGGCAATGTTTATGAATGGATTTTTACTGTGCTGTAATTGAAATTCGTGTTGAGTCATCTTTTCCAGTAACTGAACAAGCAGACAAATTGGAGTTGACAAAGGGATAAAAAGGGCTGAAGGCTCTCCAAAAGATAGCTCAAAATGCGGCCAGACCTATAAATCACTTCCTAAAATGATAATGCAAGTGTTAATTGCTCTAGAAACACTCTGGGAAGTCACGTAGCAGATGCACATCTTCACTTTTATCAGGAACACCTATTTGAAGAAAGAGAAAGACAAGTGGAAAAGCAATAGAAAGATACTAGTTTTGTGGCCTTTTTTTGGGTATTCAAAGGATGCTTTCATCAATTATACTCATATATAAAAAGTCAAAACTATAGTTGGATGTTATCTAGTCTTTGTGATGCATTATCTACACGTTCTTGTTGAATTAGTAATTTACAATATTTAGTCATATTTGTTGAGATCTCTTTGCAGTAGATCTCAGCAAAACATCTGTGTTCCACTGGGACAAAATAAATTACAAAAATTAGAAAGCATTAGGAAAGACATGTAAAAGCAGACAAGAAACATTTTTAGTCAATGAAGTTTTTGGCATTAGAAAAAATTCAAAGGAGAAGAATAATTAATTTGGATGAATTTTGATCTGTTTATAGTCTCCATATTCTGCAAATTTGCATTCAGCTCTTTAATTTTGTGCATATTATTTTAAGTTAATACTCTGAAGACATTGGGACTAATTTTCTCCTATAGGTGGTAAAGAACTGAAAGAATAATATTTGTAAAGCATTATAATTTTTTAAAAAAGCAGAGCCAGCTTAAAACAAATAAAGGAAAAAGAGATGCCTCTGTTGGGAACTAAACTTTTGAGGAGCCTTGTTGTTTTCAGCCATGAAATGGTAATAAATCTGATACTTGCAGCAAACCTGTTTATAATTTCTAAGCATGCTTAAATGAGTGACTGCACTACTTGTAAAAAGTAGTTTTTAACATGATTATGAACCAACATAAATGTGATCATTTCATTGCTCTGTTTCATTTTTATATGAGTGTAACTGAGTTCTAGGAATAAATCATCTACAGTTTTATTCTGGGCGGGGGGGAAATCACTAAAGCCATACAGGACTCATTTAAGTCTAAAGTTATTTTTGGTAGCTTATGCTTATTGTAAAGCACATAGTTCAACATGCTGTACTGCTTTACCAGCCTATTTCGAAGTATGTGATGCCTATATTGCCTATAGGAACTGCTATGGTGTTGCCATACAGACACTATTCCCAGTGTGAGTACTGTGTGACTTTATTCATCTGAAGTAATATAAACATTGTCTGTATGAGTGCACGAGTCCTCTCTATCAGAGGCATACACCAATCCTCACTTCCACATTTTAGCAGAACTCTGGAGCTGTTTCTTTCCATCTGAAAGTGTTTTGCTGCAGATTTTCACAGCATGTCTTCCTGGGGGCAGCTGAGGTCTGGGATCTGTACCAAGTATTAGCCAGGATGATGTTGCTTTAACTTAAATCATGGATTTGTTCCCATGTGAGATGAGCCAGGGAACATAAATGACATGAAAACTGCATTACTGTCCAAATAGGTGGGCATGATTAGCTACCTTGGTGGCCATAAAATCTCATATCTCATGCAGAGCATAAGTGAAAGAGAATTACAGCCTTTCAAAAACTATTGGCAATAGCTATAAACATCTACTTTAATAAGAATGCTGTCCTATTATTAATCATTAAATAATAGATTGCTTTTAGTAGAACTGTGAGCTCCAATTTTGGGTTTTGCTAAGCCCACCTTTGCAAAGACTGATTCAGAACTTTTTAGCTGCTACCAAGCAAACAGTCAGCCCAGGTTGGGTGTGTAACGATGTAAACCTCAGACAACAGCTTTGCATTGTTTCTAGTACAAGCTTGGTGTTCCATCAACACCAAGCTATGTCTTCTTCAGTTGCTTTTTCTTTTTACCCTCCTCATGTCCATTTTAATGGCTGCACACCCACGGTGTGGTCTGTTTTCCCTGCTGACTGTGGGGTTCATCTGCGCTCAAGCACTTCTCACAGAGACCGAGTGTCCTCCCAGTCTGCCTCGCCAGCTCTCGGGTTAGCTCTCTTGAGCTGAGAGAAAAGATTGCCTTATTTGTAGTCACTTTTTGGTAGGCTAGCAAGCATCAGAGCCATTTACGGTTAAACAGATTTATCCTCTGCCCAGGTGAATCAAATCTGACACAAGGGAAGCAGGGAAAGAGGGCAGCAGAGAAAAGAGATTGAGAGACCAGCCCCTTTTTGCAAGTCCTCCGGACTAAATACAACAGGAAACTGTGAGCTCAAAAACGTGAGGGGCAGTTTGGGATCTCTTGCTTTATTCCAAGATTGGAATTTCATAGTGGATGTTTTCATGGGTTTGATGCTGTTTCTAGAGCTGGAATAGATGATGATGAACTTGACTACCTTTTTTTCTGAACCTTAGAAAATGATTATCTTAAATCTTTCAAAGATAAGAATCTACATTTCTCATCAATCTTACTTTATCCAAACTGATATCCAAACTCTGAAGTGAAAGAATGGATGTGGATAGGAACACACAGGGTTGTTTAAAAGTATTTTCAACTAGAGATGGGTGATTCTGGCTGGTAGCAGAGTGAAATCTACCTGTGTTTGACTGAACACTGTGTTTTGCCAGGGCAAGATCAAGAGGGAGCTTTATCTTAAGCATGTTTATTCTTTTTCTAGACATACGTAGTTCCTATGATAGAGATATAGGAGTTGAGATTGGCATTCAGTTCCTTTGTTACCTATTTTCAGTGTGAACATGGATATAAAATCTTGCTACCTCAGCTCACAATCTGAGAAATGTTGATTTTTTTTTTTCTTTTCCCCTTAACCACAGGAATTGTGATAAGGAATACAATAACATTGCAAGGATATTTGTATGGTGACATCTAGGATTTACAATACATAAAATGGGCCTTAAGGTTTTATTATAGCAAAAGATGTTAGGAGAAAGGTGTGTATAATCATTTTGCCTTGTGCTGTCATGGTAATTAAGGGTGGATTTCTGAGCTATAAATGAATTTTGAATATATAATAAAATCAGAATAACTTTCTCATATTAAGCAGTTAGAACTGATAAGAGCTGTTCTCCCTCCTCTTTGTTGTTCTTTTCTTCTGCCTATTGAAGTTTCTTTGCAGAATTCAGGCTGCTGGTTTACTGGTTTTACACATCTACACTTGTCTCTTGCCTCAGGGCCAATGCATTTATCTACAAAGCACAGAGTAGGTGTAGCACATTCCTACTCAGATCTGGAGGTCATATGGCTACTCAGAACAAATGTGAAGGGTTGCACCAATGTTCAAGCCTATCCTTTGCCTGTTACTTGGTGCTGATATCATGCCTCATTTTGCATTGCAATTAGAGGGAAGTTAAGAATGGCTCATCAGCACTTTTTGCAATAAACAGTATGGCTATCCTTAGGCCATTCTTTTTCTGTTGGTGTAACACTGGCTTTAAGCTTTGGCTACAGAAATAAGAGAAGGAAAAGTTCAGTGCAAGGAAGGATGCAATCAAGAAGCTCATTTAAAACCCACCCGTTCTCATTTGAGCCAAACTGCATGACAGTCAGTAGCAACACGGGGAATGACAAGGGGATTCGCTGCCATACTGCCTGTTACTGCAGACTTGGCCAGAAGTTATTTGTGTCTTAACTGTCTAATCATTTGTTCAAGGGTAATAAAGCTCTGTTGGAGATGTCTGCGGATGTGCTGCATTGTAATGTCTATACCATAAATGATTTATTCCAATTGTAGGATTTGAACGCTGTTAGAAGTTGAGCTAAGTACTAACACATGCATGAGCACAGTTGCAATGTGGTGCAGTACCACTGTAGTATGCACATTCTGAACGCATTGGTTAATTGTATGTTTTCATCCCTAGCTTTTAGGAAGTATAACTGCAATTAATTTTAGTACGTCGGCATTGCAAACGTTGAATATCTGGCTGTCAGCAATCCACTGGTAGTGCATGGAAGAAGCTTAGTACACAGGTTATTTACCTATCAGCCTGTCTACTCAGGCATCACATCACACAAAGAGTGTTTTAGCTTTGTTGAAAGTTGTCCGCTGTCATTCCATTTGGTTGTATTTTTGTTGTGCAT